CCCCTGCCCCCCTCGGTGAATTCATGGATCTTGAACACACAGAAAGCAAGCAGGTGTTATGTAAGCCACGGAGGTACGTGACCCTACCTGTGAAGTCGTCCTAGCAGAGAGGGGTTGGGGGGCGGGAGGGGAAGGGAGTCAGCCCTGAGTCAGATCTAGCTCCTAGATCAAAGCACCAAAGCAACTTAGGTAGGAAGCAATCTGCCAAATGCAGACTGTGGGAACCACTGCTGGAAAAACAACTTGGTTTCTGCAATTTAAAAAATATATATAGTTGATATAGTTGCAGAACAGAGGAAAGAAAGAGGAAAACAGAAAAAGAACCCACACAAGCTTTATCAACCAAATGCACCTCCATAGGATGCTGATTCAAACCACAAGAACAACAAAAAAGGGAAATTGTAAGCATGGCCAGCTACTGATAATGTTATCACCATTGGCGTTGTGACGTGCTGGCTCCGCGGGGAGGAGTTTCTGGTGCTGGCTGCGCCATCTGCACCGCGATGTCCTCTTGCAGGAAGGGGGACGCTGCCAGCCGACACGGCCAGACCTGGCCCACGTCAGCTCGCTGATAAAAACCCCAGAGTGACTTAAAGGCGACCTTAGCTTCAGGATGATACTAAAATGGAAACCGGAGTGCAGACTTAGCAGTATAATGAGGCTCGTGGCCTGCGTACAGGCAAGGAAAGGGAAGGGGGTGCGTGGGGGTTCAGTCCCCACCAGAACATGAGGGACCTGGAAGCATTTTACTGTGAAAGGTCTTCAATAGCACTTACATGCTTAGAGAGAAGAAAGGATATTCCTAATAATGGTTTCCTGATAAAACCCTCAAATTACTCACCCCATCATGGGCAAATGGCCTGAGACCAGGCCTGAAGCAGGGCTGCTAAGGCCCCAAAGCTTGTCACAACCTAAGGCACCATCTTTCAGGGAACCACAAGAAGGGTGCAGGCAGATCTCAGACAGTGCGACAGCAGGAGACGCCACATCAAGATAACAGGAGACACCACATCAAGATAACAGCCGACACCATCTGCCTCCCGCAAGCTTTCCCCCCCATGTCTCTTCCAAATGTCTCTACATGTCTCTCTGCCATGTGACTCCTCAGCCTCCTTCCCAGCAGACCCAGGGTGCAAGCTGGGGCTGAAGCAGGACAAGGACTCCAGATCCCACCGGCCTTGGGTGCCATGAACGTGACCTGGCGACTCGGCTCCGCCCTATTCCCAGTAGCTCCCACGCTCAGCAAGTGTGGCTTACGGTCCCCTGGGACCTGTAATCCCAGGTGTCTGCATGTAAGCGGAGAGCACAGCACCTCCCCTTAGCAGAGGCATATCTGCCACAATGCCACCAAGGTTTGTGTGAGTTCACTCCGTGCTATCCACACCAACAAAGTTGCCCAGCAAGGTACTTCTCATAATACAGCCCCTCACCCAGGGACAGGTGACAGGTGACAGAGCTCCTGGGAAGAGACTTGTGCCATCCTCAGTGGAGGGTTGGCATCACAGAGGGCTTGGGAAACCCACTGCTGCCTACAGGTGAGGGTGGCAGAACTCCTGAGAACAGTCACTGGCAGACTTTTCTAGACAACTAGAAGTTATCCTTCTAGGCAGATTATTTTAGAATCACTGCGAATGCAATCTTTTCAGAAACGAGTCACCTATGTCCCTGACATAAGGAAAATGGACTGAAACAAGCCACTGCGCAGGATCAGGTGACCCCATGGCGATCTGTGGGAGCTACCGTCTCCGCACAAGAGCCAGCAGGTGCACAGCCAGGCTCCTGAGTCTCGATGCCACCTCTTCCCTTCCCTCGGTGGGTGCCCACAGTCACTGCTCCCAGTGCTAGGTTTCGTGGAAGTGAAAGACGCCAGGGCAGAGAAGGAGCCAGGCCCCAGGGTGGCTCATGTCCATTAGCTGAGTTTCAAAACAAAAACTTAGGGAAGACACCTGCCTTCCTGCGACCTCCACCTGGACCAGATAAACTCCAATCACCTGGACAACAGCCAAGCCCCTGGACTTACATTAAGGGAGAAGAACCTTATCCCCACAACCCTCTCCTCTTAGGGGACAGGGGCTGGGGGAACTCCCACCAGCTCCTATACGGTCACCCCACAAACACATCCAGGGGCAGAGAGGAAAGGCCTGGGTGTGGCTTCTGTGCTTGGCCCGGCAGGTGCTTCAGGCACGCCTCCTCTCTACCCCAAGGGCCCTGGGCAGGCGGAGGCTTGCTGGGTTCCCTCTGCAGAGCACACAGGGCCTGGCATGCTGGGAAGGTGCCGGCTGGTCTCTTCTCATGAGCATTGGCCTGATGAGCATGACATGCCTGGTCCCTGTTCCTCTGCGGGCTGCGACCATTCCTCAATTCTCCCAGGACAGAGGTTTTCACGACTCTTGAGATCCTAAGCTCAAAATCCTCGCCCTGGTCTGACATCATCCTGCCTCTTCCTGCTGCTGCTGGTTGGAAACAGTATGCAGCCTGGGGACCGCAGGTGATTCTCGGGGTGTTCCACGCACCGGAAGATTTAAAGGAGGGCTGGGAGAACCCCCAGATTGAGTTTAGATCTCTCGCAATCCGAAATATGATGACCAACAGCGACTGGGATGCAAGACCAAGAAATGCTAAGTCGCGTCTTAAAACCCAGAATTTAAACCTGCTTTCGTCCCATCTAGCTCAGTATCTGGCGTTCATCACTGAACACCCCAAACAGCCCCTGGAAGTGATCTGGGAACACAACAGATCCTCGCCAGCCTCACCGTAAGAAATCATGTCTCTAACGTCTCTCCAACAACGGAGTGTCGGCAGACAGGTCTAGGAAAACAAGAGTATTTGTGTTGGACTCCAGGCTTCTTCCGACTGCCAGGAAACAAAGTCAAGGTTTACTTCCAGAGTAGCTCTAACGACCCTGAGCTCCCCAAACTAAGGGCCCTGACAGTTAACTACCTTCAAGACACAAGGTTAGAAAGAACATCATGCTCCCGGCACCAGGCTCAGCTCGGGAGTGGAGCCAGAAACCACCACGATTCTGGCTCATGGCAAATCCAGCAGGAAGCAGTCCCAACTCACGGCTGGTTCATCTGCTTCAGCACCACCTAGTTCCACCAGCCTGTCTCCTACACCTCAGGCTTGGGGCACTTCTGCCTCCAGGGGTACGCTCTGACACCCCACCAGCAACACTAGCAACAACTGGAGGGGTGGGGCTCAGCCTTGCCCAGGATAGGCACACCCCAGCTCCAAGATTCGGGCCGCGAGTGTCTAAAAGTGGAAACCCCACTGCTCAACAGGGAACCAGGGCCCGGCCCAGGCTCACCCAGTTCCAGGTCCCAAGGCCACCACCGCCCACTGACCCCTGCCAATATTATTCCCATTCTAGAACTTTTTACTACTGACTATAAGCTCCTACCGGTGCTGCCGCTACCAGAACTATTACTCAATGAGTCGCTATGGCTACTGCTGCTCCTCCCGCTGAGTATGAGCCCCGACAACTGCCCCTACCACCATTTATACTAATATTACTGAGCACAAGCGCCCACGGATGCCAGGCACTCGATCCCCCACTATGCTGCTGTGACCGCTGATGGCCAACCTCCCAAACAAGCCAGTTGTGCCCTCATTCTGCCCCCCAGTTCCAGCCCTCCCGAGCCCCCTAACAATAAGCATTACCAAAGATGGACAACCCTGAAGTGAACACCCCCAGCACCTTAGGGGGCCCAGTCTCTCCCAGGAAGATCCACAGTCCACACCTCTAACTCTGTGTCTACTTCTCCCAAAAGTTTGTCCAGCAAACACCCGCAAGCTCATTTTGAGAGGGGATCTAGTCACCCCTGGGACTCCAAGACCCACTCCCAGGAGCCAGCAGCCATGACAGTGAGGAAAAGCAGAAGTTCCAGTCATGCCCAGCCACAGAAGCTGCCCGTCTTCAGCTTCTCAAGCACGTGGCAGCAAAAGGAAAGTAGAGAACTGGGGTGATGGAGAGGCCTGCTGCAGGATGTGATCCAACACTGAACCTCAAGGCTGCTGATCCCTGCCCACCCCAACCTGAAACCAGGGGACCACAGGCACACGCCAAGGTGCAAGGGCGACCTGACACACGGCATTCAGGGGCGCTCTGCTCTCTGCAGCTAGGAGCCACATCTGGCCAGGAAATCCTGCACGCGCGGGTCACAGTGACACCAGTGTGCCACACGGCTCATGGTGACCAGGTAGAGACACCATCACCGAAACACCTGTGCAAGGTCCAAGCCCGGCTGGGAGAGCTGGGGCTGCTGCACCTCTGGCAGCCCAGGGATGGAGGCCCACCAGTCTGCCCTCCGCCTCGCTCTCACAAGACTACCACTGTATGCAGACGGCACTCCGGCCCTGGGGCTCATCTGCCCAGCACCACCAGGCACATGGGCCCGATTCATGGGAAAGTTTGAGACCCCCGCAGAGAGGGCTTCTGGCTCAGGGCCCCTGGCCCACACGGAGAAACCCGAGCTCTTGGGTGCTCGGGGCAGCTCCAGGCTGGACGCAGCACCCCAGGTTCTGTGGCCCTGTCAGGGAGGGGTGATGGTACCTGCTTGGAAAAGCATATACCAGAGTTGACCTGGTTGAGTTAAACATTTGTTCAGCACCTGGAGAATGTCTTGTTATTCTGGGCACTGGTCCAGACTTCCTCTAAACTATGGGGCGCAGATTCCTTGGGATCAAGGATTCTGTTTTGTTCAAGGAGCCCTCTGAGTGTTGTAACATTTACCCAGCACCAGCAATGTCCCAACAAGGTATGAAATGCCTTTTGTTTTCAGAAGTATCCTTCTACCACAATCTATCTTAATTGGCTACAGAGAAATAATCATTCCCCCGAGGCTCCAGGCATTTAAGTATGTGTCCACGCTAAAGATAAATACAACCGCTGAGCTACTATTTTATCCTCAGACCTTAGACGATGTGCCTCTGTCCGCAACAGCCCCTCTGCAGCGATCCATGTACACGGAACATAATTCACTGTACGTAAAAGCATTTACCTCAATTAATGTAAAAATTCCCAAGACTAAGTAGGATTTCCAGTAACACTTTATGATTGCTTTCGTTAAAGAAGGCTTCTGTGCTGCTTTCTCAGCTCTCAAGACTTCTTTATCCCAGTACCTACAATGAGAAACAAAGTGTGGTGAAAGAGCAGTAGGCCCAAAACATCATGAAAGAGCAGCAGGGCAAGCTTTGGGGTAAGCTGAACGCAGCAGAGGGACGAGCGCAGGGTGTGTGCTGGGGGCACTTTGAGATCCGCCCAGTGAGTGCTGGCAAACTGCGGGGCACAATCTGACGGACAGAGAGTCACAGCCTCAGGCGACAAATTACTGCCAAGCTTTGCTAGACAGACAAGCCAGGGGTCCTTCCACAAAGGTGTCCCCAGACACCAAAGTAGGTCCAGGCCGGAACAGCCTAGGAAAGGGCATGAGGAGGTCCCCAAAGACTGGCACACACCCCAGGAATGAAGTGCCCTTTCCAAACCACTAGTCACTCTTTGAAATACTCCTTCTTACCCTTCTCCTCACAGCTGCTTGCTTACCCTTGTAACTCTTCTCCGAGGTGCTTTGAGCGATCGTCCGGAAGCACTGAATACATGTCATCTTCTTCCAATCTCCGCTTGTGACCAATTTTAAACAAGGGGTTTAGCCACCTGTTAAAAATGAAGGAAAAGGAGAGAATGACAGGTCCAGAATTACATATTTGTATGCATGTGGGCGGGCGCGCACGCACACGCGCGCGCACACACACACACACACACTCCCTAAATTCTATCTGCCCAGAGGCCCAGTATCCAGCAAATTACACTCCCATAGCAAAGAGCATTCCAGCTCCTGGTTTCTTAAAGATCTTCCTTCCCTAAAAGAAGCAGGACTCCTAGAAAAAAAAATGGGACAGATAAAGTACATGCAGGGCCCCAAATATCCTGCTCCATAAAACAGTCTCCTTAGACTGTTCCCCGAGGACTGAGGAGCCAGGAGGAAGAGCTGGGACATTTTGAGCATCAAAAATTAACTGGCAATGAATGACAGATAACTCGTCAAATAACAAGAGAATCCATGACTCTTTTGCCTACTTCAATGAGACAAAGGGGGGCCAAGAGGGGAGCTCTTGATTCCAGAATGCAAACAGCTATTGAAGGAATAGAAAATTAAATTACCAAAGGAAGCTAAAACTATGGAGGGAAAGTTTGATGAGGAACAGGATATCTGCATCATCTCACATTTTCTCTCTACAAAGTGCACACTAATGATGAGAGGAAAAGGACAGGAAAGTTACAGGGGACTCCACCAGAAAACCCCTATTCGGGTCCGTTATGCATTCAATACCAATAATGAATATGCAGAGATAGCCCAGGGATTAACACCATCTGATCCAATTTTGCCTGGGCAAGGAGATTTCCGAGGCCAGATGACAAGCCTTGAAAGTGGAGACCGCGTCTCTCTCGCCTATTGCTTTATCCCCAGCACAAAACTAGCTACTTGGGAGGTGCTCAAGGGTTATTTGCTGAAACCCTTGAAATCTGACTGCAGCACTGAGGCTGCCGGAGAAGGCTGGTGGGGTGCGGAGTGAAGGCAGGAGACCCAGGGGGCCAAGGTGGGCATGGATGGGATCACACAGTTGAAGAAGTGTGAACCTATACCCCAAAATCAAGTGTTGTGAACCCACACATAAAGCAAATCGGGTTTTTTTTAATTACTGGTTCAATAAAGAAGGCTGATGAATTGTTAAGGAATTGATATAAGAAACTGAGGTGCAGACCCTGCTAGCCTCAGAACTCTAGAGAACCCTAGCTCAGCAGTTAGGGGGCTGCATCCTTATCCCAGAGATGGCCCTGGGGACCCCCAGGTCTCCGGGGTCTCAACTATTCCCCCCCCTCCACCTCCCTCAAGCCCAGCATCCCGTGACCCTTTGCCAGTCACTTAATACCTCTAGGCCGCAATTTCCTTCCAAACTAAAGTATAAACCTGTGAGCTTCGCCACTGGGTGCCCTCAAAGGCCCTCCCTCTTTCAAATTCTGCTTTACAGGAAGAGATGCTGCAGAAGCACGTGGAGGATCTTTCGGGAAAATTTAAATAAACAACACCGAATAAATGCATAGCATGACAGAGAGACGTTATGTTAGCCGGGGGTGGGGTGGTGACTGCAGTCAACACATCTGTACCCCCAAGGGTACTCTTTACTGCCCCCCTCCTTTGAGGGGCCTTGGGAAACAGTTGGAAAAGCAATGGCTTCACCATGACAGTTTCTGAAGCCACAAGGGTCATTTATTTGCCCATGATGGGTACAGTTTCCCATAGTGCAGCCCCGAGAAAGGACTGGTCGTTTTGACCCCCAGCTCCAAGCTTCAGCCACACTGTGTCTCCCGCCTTGTGCTGTGGCCCCTGCATGAAGCCCCTGGGGCCCATGTCCCCCACTTCGCTCTAAGTCACATCCCACTCACCTGCGCCAGTACCAGGTGACCAGCCTCCTCGGCTAATCCCCACCACCTCAGTCCCAAGCCTCTCTCCATGTGCCCATGAAACTCTCCTGAGTTCCCCCAAGATCAGCAAAACCCTGCTGCCCTCAGCTCCTGGAGGGCTGGAGGGCTAGGCAGGCCTGTGAAGACAAGGCCCGCCTCAGCAGAGCCCCCCAGTCCCTGTTCCACCTAAGGGTAAACAGCCCTGGCCCCTCCAAAGACTATGGCACCTGGCTATATGCAGAGAATTCTGGATTTAGCTGGAAACAGAAAAACTGCTGCATCTGCCAGTTGCCATATCCAGAAAATCCTGTCCTTGCCTATCATTCTTCAACAACTTTAGCTGCTGAATCAGGCTTCCCTTGCACCCCAACATCTGATATCTGATTCTGCACCCACCACAGAGGGCACCCCAAACTCTAGCTGCTCATGTTCTTGTTGTGGTCTCTTCTGGAACCTTCCTTCAGGCCTGCAGGCTAATGCCTGTGACCTCAAACCTGCCATCCCCTCATTTCCTCGGCTGGTCTGGCCCCAAAGGGCCCCTGGCCACAGCCCCACTGTCCTTAGGGGAACTGTCAGTCCTCTGCTGTTAAATGCAGACAGACAGTCCCCCACAACTCCAGACTCCAGGGCTGCGTGCCCACCTGTCATCTCCTTGTATCGCCAATCAGAACTTCTGATCTGTGCCACCGAAAGAGCCCTTCCTGCCGCAGTCAACGGCAACCCCACGGAACCCAGGACTAACAGCAGAAACCTGGTGCATGGGTCCCCCGGACACCTCCCCTCTAGCCCCTCCCCATGCCCCGGGAAATGCAGGCGACCCCACACACCCCCTGCACCTCTGCTCCCTCATTCTAGGTCCAGCCCACGGGGGTTATCAGAGCTCCTCAGCTGCTAACCGGCCTGACTGCTTTCACTGCTTCCCAGCCCCACTTGTACAGAGCAGCCATTGGGGTTCTACAGACACAAGACCAGGCTGTTTTTCTGCAGTAGAAATACACCTTGATTCCTGAGGGGTGTCAGGCATGACCAGGCACCCTCCTAGCTCGCCTGCCCCACCTCCTGCCCTGGGTGCCTTGCTCCTGCCATGCGGGCGCCTGCCTGGGTTCCTGAACCCCCCCTGCATTCCTGAGTCCTGTTCCCTTAGCTGGGAGCTAATGCTGCACCCCCCTTCCCTCCCCGGCCTGCAGTTTCCTTCCTCCAGCTCTTACTGTGATTGCACCTCTACAGAAAGGGCCGAACAGCCCTTCAATCCCCTAACAACCCTTCTTTATTCCATGTAATGAAATCTACTAGTTGAGGGAAAAAAGAAATCACTGCTTCACTTTGTGTCTCTCCTCCATACAAGATCCAAGAAGATGGGGCCCCTCTTGCACATGGCAAGCCCCTCAAAGCATGGCTGGCTGGTTGAATGAATGAATGGATGGATGGCATGCCCCGCTTGAGCTGCAGGAGCAGAGAATGCTCACACCGCCCTCTTTCAAGTCCTGTACAAACAGGGGAAAGTGCAGGTCAGATGAGGTCAGTCAATCATTCAACCAATACCTGAGCCATTTATTGCTGAAGGAATGTGTGTTGAGGCACTTTCCGCTGTGTCAGTGTATTAATTAATTAATCACTTTCCCCGTGGATTCTAAAGGCCCAATGACTCTAGGACTCCTGTAGCCCAATCTATGGGTCCATTGGGCCAGGAGTGGGCGGGGGGACGTAGGGGGCCATAGGCTAGAGGGAGGTTGAGTGGTAAGGGGTCCAAAAGCAGGACTGGGGTGAAGGCTAGATAGGAAGCACACAGACTGAAGCCCCAAGCTACTTGAAAACCCCCTTCCCCTAAAGCAAGGCGTCTCAAGGTACACGCTTCTTTGTTGCGGGGCTGTCCCATACACTGTAAGATGGTCAGAAGCCTCCCTAGACTGTCCTCAGATGCCAGTGGTGTCCCCTCACCGTAAGTTGTGACAACTTAAAATGACCCAGTCATTCCAGAGGGAGCGGGTGGCAAAATCCCGGGGATCAGAAATTGTGCCCTAATCTTTGCCTTTTGGGAAAAAAACCCTAGAATATTTCTTCAAATGTTGGCCTCACAGAGCAACCACGGGGCATGTAGCAGGAGCCTCTCTGTCACGAAAAGGAGGTTAATGGTGTAAGCTCATTGCTATATTCATTGGTTCAAATGCTCTCCAGGAGCTCATGAGAGAAAGGGGTCTCTATAACAAAGAATTACAATATGAGGGCCTCCCTGGTGGCGCAGCGGGTTGAGCACAGCGCTGTGAAGGTGTCTGCAGCCTCCGCAGCACTGGTTCAATTCCTGGCCGGCCAGAGAGAATCCCACATGGTGAGGCAGACCTCTCCTGCCTCGCCCACTGCTCCCCTCAGCAGTGTTTTTGGTCCATCTACCTGTTCTGCTCCCCACTCTGTCTCTGGTGAATCCTCTCACCCTTCCACGACTCTAACCTGTACCCCAGCTCTTGTATAAATAAAAATAAATCTTTTAAAAAAAAAAAAGAATTATAATATGATGTGGCAATGTGGGTGTGCGCCTGGATGCTTGGCTCTTTAGGTCTCTGTAGGGCTGAGGGGTCAGTCAGTAACCCAACTCACCAATAACTCATCTTCTGTACAGCAAAGCTTCTCAAAGTGTGCTCTGTGGACCAGCAGCATCAACATCCCCTGGCTTGTCAGAAATGCAAATTCTCTGGCGCGCACCCCTATAACCTATGAACTAGAAAGTTGAGAAAGGGGTCCCAACCTTCTCCAGGTGATGCCAGTGCAGCTTCAGGTGTGAGGACCTGCTCTAGGGTGTGCTTCGGCAGGCCAATGGAATTTACATGGAGTTCCAATCCTGGCTAAATATCAAAATCCCAACCTCAGGGCCTCCCCGGTGGCGCAGCGGTAGAGCGCTGGGTTGCGAAGCTGCCCGCGGCCTCTGTGGCGCTGGTTCGATCCCCGGCTGCTCCCCAGCCACCGGAGGAGGGTCCCACATGGCGCGCAGACCTCTCCTGCCGCCCACTGCTCCCCTCAGCAGTGTACTTTGGTCCTTCTGCCTGCTCTGCTCCCCACTCTGGCTCTGGTGAATTCTTTCACCCTCCTGCGCTTCTGACTGTACCCAGTGCATGTATAAACAAAACAAACAAATAAATAAATAAAAAAACATGCCTCTATTAAAAAAAAAAAAATCTTTAAAAAAAAAAATCCCAACC